AAAAAAAAAAAACACTGCTATCGAGTTACTTCCAACTCAATGGTACCCTACAGGACAGAGTAGAACTGCCACATAGGGTTTCCAAGACTGAATCTTTAAGGAAGCAGACTGCCTCATCTTTCTCCCGTAGAACAGCTGACGGGTAAGAAATGAGTTCTAGCCTCCTGTTTTGGTGGAAAAAGCTCATCTGTAGCAGAAAATTCAGTTAAAGAACCTACCTTTTAATTATCATAAAAGTCACATTAAATTCATTTGAATGAGTCATTAAAATAACTTGAAATCATGAATAGACTCAGAATAGCTATCTATATTCTTTTTATTGAATAATAATAAACTAGACCATTTAAAACAAAACTTAACAGTTTATTCTGCTTGTATTCAAAGACCCACACCCATATCCACAACCTGTTGACAAATTTTTGGAATAAAATACAGGTATATAGTGAAATAATTCTTAAATAAGTTCTTTACTCCAGATAAAATACTTCTGCAAATATTTCCCATAGGCATTTATTACAACAATCTTATTTGTGCTAAGATCCTCCCAAATGCATTCATCATTCAACTTAGGTTTGAAAGAAAAAAGAAATATAAAAATGAATCATACATTAATCATGCTTCCTGCTGAAAAATGACTTTTCAATTACCAACCACTTAAGTTATTTTCCACTTTAAATTTAAAATTCATCCAAGTCACTACATCTACTTTTAAATAAATTCTCTCTGTTGTACATTTTTGACAATGTATAAATCCATGGTAACTAAATTTTTCTAGGTTTCTCTTATGCTTATTACTATTAATATTATTATAATTATTAATAATAAATTTATGATATATCTAATATTTGAAAACCTTTATTCAAACAATTTTAAACAAACTTAATATTATGTTCATTTCCTCAAGAGGAAGATAAATATGGGTATGGAGGATGACTCATAGTAAAATTTTTTTACAAAAATATATAAATATTTACCCTCACACCTCCTCCAAGTGGGCAAAATACTTCCTAGCTCTACCTCTGAGGCCACATTCTTCAAAACCATGTATGGAAGTGTATGTTTGCCCTCTGCCACGACAGAATCATCCCTCAGAATCATGTAACCTGGGAACGACATCAGCAGCTCTTTGAAACCAGCCTCAATTCAAGGCTGTTACTCAAATTCCCACAAGCTTCAAATATCCCAATTCCTTCAGCAGTTTTCTGGTTGTTTTGTTTTGACTTTTCTCAAACCAAAAAAGCACACTTAATTCTATTAAAACTGCCACAAGGAAGAGCTAAAGATTACACTCCCACGCCCCCACCCCCACCTTCCCTTCTTCCTAACTCATCCTCCATCCTATATTCCAGCATTAATGTACATCCCAGTCAAAGAACCCATGGGCTCACTGTGGTCTTCAGCTTTGGCTAGATTTCTCTTTGACTGATCTGCCTCCACGTTAACATGATCTAAATGGCATTTGTAGTTCTTCAGTATTACAACACACACACTTAACAAACCTATATGTTCAGCATTCAAATAGTTAACAAACAAATATCTAAAAGTGTTCAGTCATGTGCATTTTACAGATTGCAAGTAGACTGCTTTTGTTTTGTTTTTCTGTACCCACCCAAGATTGCAATTGGTCTCCAAAACTCTCATGTCCATGTGCTATACTCTAGACAGTTCCTAAATGTGGGTTGAACAATCATTGAAGTAAACCCTTCACTTGGAAATCCCACCCATATCAGCGTGGGTTTAGCCATTTCATTACAGGAGAATGGGCAGCATTCTCTTTCACAATTTCTTCTCTCACAGCATTTCCATCTCCAGAGGCCGCGTCATGCTCTGAAACTAGAAAGGATACAAATCATGCTCGAACGTTTATAACTCCATCAAGGAAAATTTTATCTTGTTTTTGTTTTACAATGGAATTCATAATGAAAACTTCAGTTTTATATAGACATAGATATAGATACAGATATATAGACATAAACATAGACAGAGATATCACTCACTGCCCTCAAGTTGATCTCAACTCATAGTGAAATGAGTTTGGGTTTCCGAGGTGGTAAATCTTTACGGAAGTCGATTGCCCCATCTTCTTTCCGCAGAACAGCTGGTGCGTTTGAACCACCCGCCTTCCAGTTAGCAGTCAAATGCCTTAGGCACTATGCCACTAGAGCAAACCCCAGATATAGATACAGATATAGATACATAGATACATACTGTGCTATCTGTATTCACTGTATGCTATCTGTATGCATCTAAATTAGCAACTTGCATGTAAGATACAAAATCAAAACCCACTGTCACTGAGTCGATTCCAACTCATAGTGACCCACATTGGGTTTCCAAGGCTGTAAATATTTATGGAAGTAGATTGCCTTTTCTTCCTCCCACAGAATAACTGGTGGGCTTGAACCACTGACCTTCTGGTTAGCAGCCAATTTTCTTACCCACTACATCACCAGAGCTCCTGCATCTAAGATAGAACCCACTTGAATTACTTCTCTTCTTATATGTACTACTACCCAATATTATTTTTATACATGATATATTTTTCTTTTTTTTTTTTTTCTTTCTGTGTTATCTCTGTCCACCACTAGAATATTAGTCCATGAAGGAAGGGAGTTTACATTGTTCACTGCTATATTGCCAGCACTTATAACAGTGCCTGGAACATAGTAGGTGTTCAGCGAATATTTCTTGGATGAGCAAATGTTGTAAGGATAGATATCTATGTAAAATTTTTGCACAAACTGATACGGGGAAAGGATGAGCTTATTGATGTAGTTCCAAAAGGCAGAAGGCAGACGAAAGGGCAGAACTTTTATAAAGATAGTTCTTATCTCTACATAAAAGTTTGCATGACCTAGGTTATTTTCAAAACTAAAATGTTCTGCTTCCAGGAGTCATGAGGTGTGCTGCTTCAGCAGTGTGCCTCCTGGAGGGAAGTGCTAGAAGAGTAGCAGTAATGTATGCAAATTCATGAACCATTCCAGAACGTTCCAGTGGAAGCCAGGAATGTTATCATCAACAATTAGAAAGTTGGAGAAGACAACCTCATACAATCAGAGTATGGAAAGAACCACGAGGAGTCCCTATGCTGGTAAACCCTGGAGCCATTTAACCTGTTCTCAAAGGCTGGCCCCAAATACGTCTGTGCAGAGGTGATGTGAAGCCTGTGGCAGGACTGGGACCTCCAAGCCCCTCCTGTACACTACAGCTAAACGAACCCCAGGATGCCTCATGTAGCGAATGCACAACTGAGCTCACAGGCTCCTGGGAAGCCTTTAGGATATTCTGCTCTCCATTCAGAATCTGACCAAGGTTTACCAAGGTTACGGTTGTTGTTGCTGTTGTTATGTGCCGTTGAGTCAGACCCGACTCATAGCGACCCCTCCTTGGGTTTCCGAGGCAGTATCACTACAGAAGTTGATTTCCCAGCTGTCCTTCTGAGGAGTGGCTGGTGGGTTTGAACCACTAGCCTTCTGGTTAGCAGTCAAATGCATTAGGCACTATGCTACCAGTATCACTTTTTTGTTGCTGATGGAAAAAAAAAAAAATCCTAATTCAGAGAAGGGAGAAAATCAACTATTTTCTCATAAATTTCTAATAAGGATCTTGATACCTAATTTTGATTATATATATATGTAATTTTGATCATACTTTTTTATCATCATATATATACACATATACATATATATAGGAGATCTGATGGTGGTACAGTGCCTAAGGCACTTGACTGCTAACCAGAAGGCTGGCAGTTCAAACCTACCAGCCACTCCTCAGAAGGAAGATTGGGCAATCTACTTCCATAGAGATACTACCTCAGAAACCCAAGGAGGGGTTACTATGAGTTGAACTGACTTGATGGCAGTGAGTTTGATTTAGATAGATAGATAGACAGACAGACAGATATAGATATATAGATATATATACACACACACATACATACATATACATTTGTGTAACTTATAATGTAACTTCTGACTAGAAATAAATCTGTTCCCAAGGCATCGTATAATAGTACAGATATTTACAAAATCTGCAAGCAAAAGAGTAAGGGTGATGGGTCTAAGGAAAGAAGCTGCAGAACAGCCCTGTGGAGACAAGGCCTGGGGGAAACGCCACTTGCAGAGTGTCACAGGAGGGATGCAGGTGAGGCACCAAAAAGTGTTTCCGTCGTGGAGGGTTATTTCAAAGGTGCTCTCATGGCTCCCCATAGATTACATTCCAGACACCAACACAGATCCACAATGGATTCTATTTTCTCTCTCAGTGGCAAAGATTTAGATTCAACCTTAAATGAGTGAAAGGGGACATGTGAGTTGTTCCCTCAAAGTACCTTTTAGATTGTGGTTTTAAGAAAGCAAGATAAGATGAAAAGAAAAAGCTGCATGTATTTGAAGCAGCTAGCTATACTGAGACAATAGCTTTTAAACCTGCACTAAAAGCAATCTAGCCATTCAAAAACTTTCTAGGTCTCAGAAAACAGTTTGGTGGTTGCTAAGGGCAGGGAGGAGGAAAGAATGGGGAGTAATAGCTTAATGGGTATGGAGTTTTATTTCAAGGTGATGAAAGTGATCTGGAACCAGATAGCGATGGTGGTTGCACAGCAGTTTGAATGTACTTAATGCCACCCCTGTTTACATTAAAATGGTCAATTTTGTGTTATATGAATTTCATGGCAATAATACTAATAATAATAATTTCAGGTTTTATGAAATCCAGTGCATTTCTCTTTTGTTTTTCTTTTTTGTTTTTGTTTTTCTTTTGTTTTTCAATGACTATACTGACAGATCATAAATATTTAAAATGTTCATGAAGTCTCCATTTCCCAATCAAATATTCACAAAGATGCCCATCTAGTAGGTAAAAAGAGGTTTTCACTTTACATTAATGTTTAAGAGCACACCCACTGCTCTCAAGTCAATCTCGACTCATAGGGACCTTAAAGGACAGAGCAGAACTGTCCCAGAGGGTTTCTAAGGCTGTAAATCTTTGCAGAAGTAGACTGCCTTATCTTTCTCCCACAGAGTAGCTGGTGGATTCAAACTGTCGACCTTTTTGGTTAAACAGTTGAATGCCTCAACCACTGCATTATCGGACCTCCTTGTTTAAGAGCATAAGCACACTCAAATAAATCTCTTAAACATACAGTGTTTCCCCCTTCATTTTATTATTCTTAGTTGTGCCCATCTGTAGGAAAGAGGTAAAACTGGGGAAATGAGCACATTTGTCAAATATTTTACATCTTAATTAATTTGAAGTGCAACAGACCAGGAAATAAATAATTAAATAAATAAAATGTATTTGGATTACCAACAATTTGTATCTGGGGCGGGGGCGGGGGGGGGAGGCTAGTTTGTTGATATTAGCAGTTGCTGTGGCTACAGGTTGCTTTAAATGCTTTATTTGCAATTTAATGGAGCTTTACTGTGCTGGTCACTTATTCAATCAGATAATGAAATACGTGCCTCCCACCATTTTATAAGCGGTGTATTTCTTGTGTTCTAACACCTTGTTGTGGAAGAAATGCACATGGACTAAGTAGAAACACATGGGTGTTACTACAATTACATTCATTTCCCAAATTTAAATCACAGATACTATCTCTCACCCGCTCCATAAAAATGTATGCTTGGAATGATTCCATTTAAGTGTCTCCGTTTAGTTAAAAAAAGAAAAAGAAATGTTCTATTTTTCTATCTTGCCTCTTAAACCTTATCCAATAAATTCCTCAGAGTATTTTTTCTATGTGAAGTTGGGAGAGAAGTAGCTTTGTCTGCTAAGTATATAAAACAGATCACTGAAGAATGTAAAGAACTTTATATATCTCGGTTCTTTTTTTAAATTACAGGTTCTTTAGTAATTAATCATATTTATCTCTCATATAAACTGGGTGAACTTTAGGAGAAGTTATTTTATCCTCAAAATTATTTACAAGATCTTTTTTAGAACAGCAACCACAACCAAATTCAATAACCACATATCTTTGCCCTAGGGAAAATATAGAAAACAAAATCATATCAACATTATTCTACTCACAAGGAGCACTGGTGGTGCAATTGTAAAGTTATCGGCCGTTAACTGCAAGGTCAGTGGTTTGAACCCACCCTGTGGCTCCATGGGGTAATGATCTGACAATCTGCTCCTGGAAGATTACAGCCTTGAGAACCCTATGGGGCAGTTCTGCTCTGTCACATAGGGTCACTATGAATCAAAGTCAACTTGGTGGCACCTCACAACAACTGTACTCACTGATTTCTTTCAAGTTATTCAAACTGAAAATGAGACTATGTTACCAAGGCTTATACCAGAATCAATTCTCACCTGTATGAGAAACAAATCTCCTGTTGGAAGACTTGGCTACTGAATATTGGAAGAAGGGAAATTTGAGGCATTTTCCGGTCACCCTGTCACATATGCCAGATTGACAGCTGCAGGTCTCTTTGCACTCCATCCCGAAGGTGCCGTAGGGGCAGTCTGAGGGTAAGGAAAAGGTTAAGAGAGAGGACTGGTGTGCATAAGCCCCCATCCTAATAGCTTCTGTGTGCACAGCCTTGGGATTTGAACAAATCTCATGAATCTTGGCTGTAAAATAAAACCCAATTCTCAAAAAACCCAAGCTTTGATATTTGAAACTTTAAGTCACAAAACATAAAATCTCAAGACACTCAGAACACTTAGACCAGATAATGGACAGAAGGCTTAGTATAATGCCTTGTGGCAAAGTTTAGTTGAAAACAGTTACACATAAGCAGTCCCCTTGGCCAGATTCTGTTTATTTTCTGCTTATTTCATAAGTTACCATTGCAACAGTTTAATGAAGGTGGGAAATTGAACAGACATATCCATCAGCTCCTCAAAGAGTTTAAAGGATGTGATGCTGTTTTTTAATTCACTGTATACAGAGGCAATGTTTAAAATGTATAGGGAGGGTCTTCAAACTAACCTGGGTTCAGAGGACTGTCATTCAGCTTACCAGTTAATTACATGACAGGATCAATCCTCTGGAGAGCCACTCCTACTTTTTTCACAGTCCTTATCTGTCAAATGGCCATACAACTTATCTAACTTTCCCAGTTGTTACAGGACTCCGCAAAGCTAAGATGCAACATATTAAGTGGCCAAGGAACCTGAGGGTTAGCTATTTATATATCTTCCCAAACTAGGAGCTTTTAGAGTTCCAGTGTTCTAGTAGTTGAACTGAAATATACTATATTAAGATAAAGAGGAGAAAGTCATTTAGTTAAAATGCATAGTTTCTATGACATAAATGACATCTCAGTAGATTAACCAGTATTTAAGCACCAAGCAGAAAAGATGTGGAATGTTCTCTTGGCATGAAAATATCCTTGTACATGTACAATCACATATGGGTAAAGGGACAAGCTATAAGGTATCTGGAGTCTTTAGCAAACTAGTTTTCCACTGAATGATCAAGATAGATGTTAAGAAAATGTATTTGTAAAGAGATTTAGGATTGCTGTCTTCAGCATCCTTCAGATTGCAGAAGAGCCTGGTTTCAAACATTTTCCTTCCTGCTGGGAAGACTAGTCCTTAAAAGGGATCCTGAAAAAAAAAAAAAAAGTCTTTTGCAGAAAAGCATACAGGACTGGGATTTGACCATGCCTACAGTGATATTCATGATATTGAGAACAAAAATATTAGTCAGATTCCTAGTTGTACTTCTGTTATATCCCCTGATATACTGGACAGTGCTAGGCATATAGTAAGTGTTCAATAAATACATGTTGGCTGGTTGACTGTGACCTAGGCAACCGTCCGGGCAACAATATTTGAATATTTAGACAACATCTGGCTGTACAGCTGAAATGTACAGTTTCCACGTGGGTGTTCAGTAAAAAAGCTGAAGAAAGGAGTTTTCCTCCAGCAAAATATAAGATCTCCATCCAGAGTTGCTGAGGTTCACATAGCTTATTCTTCCTAGCAGAGAGACAAATGTTCAAAACCAGGCTCATGTGCAATCTGGAGGATGTGGGAGAAGAGTAAGACTAAATCTCTTTTAAAATGTATCTCATTAGCATCTTCCTCAATCATTCAGTGAAGTATCAGATTGCTAAAGCCTCCAGATGCCTGACAGCTTGTTTCTTTACTCATAGTGATTGTATATTTACAAAGACATTTTTATGCCAAGAGAAAAAGCAATCCACTACATATTCTTGCTATATCATAAGTATGATCGTGTTAACCACTTCCTCCCTAATTTCCATATGTGAAGTACTGTTTTCTTGGCTGATTAGCCCTGTAATTTGCAGAAACTACAGATCCTGGGCAATCAAAAGAAACGTATATGTATGTTCACCCAAGGAAATGTTCCATCAGTGTTGTACTTTTATTGGTCATAAACAAAAACAGAAACTCTTCTACTAGTTCAAACATGTATTTCCTAACCTTTAGCATGTTTTGTGAGTTACCAGGTGATTCATTTATACATTATTTATCTAAAAGATAGGTGACATGATGAGATCAGCTCAGTTATGGGTGATGACCATTCATAAAACAATACAATTGTACTAAATTCTTAAAATAAAAGAACTATTTTTAAAATTGCCCTTTTAGTCATTGTAACAGCTTCTTTGTATTATAAAACTGATGAAGGGGGCTACAGAATATGTGTTGCATCTTAATAATAGCTCTTAATGATGAGCTCAGTAGGTATCCACATACAGATAATTTAAAATCACCAATCTTATCATTCTCAACATTGTAAACTCCAGTAACTAATTTAAAATAAATCCTACCAATGCTTAACTACATTATTCAGCTGCAATTTCAACCTAGTGAAGTCTTATAAGACTGTTGTCCTCATTCTTCACAGCTTCCTAATTTTCATTTTTCCTTAGTGTTAATTTTACTAGCCTCACGTCATCAGCTATTTTTCTCTACATGACCAAAACCCTTATAAAGTGGAATGAGATGTTTTATACTTTGGGGTACTCTCTTCCAAGAATGTGAGTTATTTCTTCAGACGTCTTAAACCCACTCTATTCCATAAAGTACATTAGCATCCATCAGAAATATTTGACCTTGAGCGATGTTCTCCACCCTGTGGACCTTTTCATGATGAAAGAATCATTAAACCCTGGGGCTAGAAACCATCCCAAGAGGTTATCTAGGAGAGACCTCTCTAATCACTGCCTGGCAGAGGAGACAGCACCTCTACCATCTATAACAGATCATCTGTCATATTTCTAAAATTTCCAGAAAAGGAGACAGCACAATCTTCCATTGCAATGTTTTTCTTTCAATTTCCTAAACATTATGAGTGAAATGCTGTATCGTTTTCTTTGCTTCCCTGCAGGGTTTATGTTCTTCTATGCACAGTTATCCTTCTCTCTCTGCCTCTGACAACACCTGTGATGGGTCAGTAACCCAAGTGCATTTTCCTTATTAATTACAAGGAAAGCCTCCTCACCTCCCAAGCTGGCTAACAGCCCTCAGCTGGCCCTGGGCAGGAAGAAGCAAGGGGTCACTCTTTACCTTTGCAGATACCAAACTCGTCACCAAAATCATCCTCCTCACTGTAAAATTGACACCTTAGCCCCGGGCCACACTTGACGCCATCCATGCCCGAGACCGTGCGGTAGCAAGTTTCACCCAGCCCTGCGGCGCACACGCGACAGCAGCCACAGTCGTCGAGCACCGTCCTCTTGCAGCGCAGGCTGCTTTTACACTCGTTACTGTCACAATGTTCAGGGCAGTCCACCGCATACTTGGTGCTCCAGGCCGTCACCAGGTGCACAGGTACTAGAAGAGCAGTCAGCAGCCAGACGCCCTTCATGTCTCCCAGCAGGCTGAGGCTCAGCTTCCTGTGCCGTGGGCTTTGTTGGTGGGAAGCAGCCGTCCAGCTTCCAAAGTGGTAGCTGAGCCTCTGGCTACACGTTTATGAGCTTTATACACTGGATTGCCCGCATGCTTCCCCGTCATCAATTTCCTCAACCCAGCAGCAGCGCTGTTCTCCTGCCAGGCTCTCTTGTTTTAGTTTATGAAATCCAGGATGAAGGCTGGATTAATACGCTGCTGCCATCCAGGAATTGAAAAGCCCAAGCTGATGTCATCTGTTATGTTTAGATGGTTGTTTTGCATGAGGACTGAAAAACTCGCTCACATCCGTCTGGAGGGCTCAAGGACGTCTGTGAAGGGGGAATAAAGAAGGTTGCAGACCCTCCTGCAGGACAGGAATTCTGCAGGACAGGAATTGTTCTGACATCGGCATGTCACTTGGGGTGGAGCTTTATCTCAGAGCCTCTGTAGTCAGGAGGAAAATGATACCGACTTGAATCATCAGGACCGAAGAAGTGCCTTAAAAATAAATAAATAAACATTTGGTATTTCCCCTCAATAAATAGCTATGAGATCATTTGGAAGAAGAAAGGGTTATATTGTCCCTTTTCAATACTTGGAAGAAAGAAAATATTTTGTTAGGGATTTTTTTAAGACTCTTCCTTCCTCCCACCCCTCTCCTGAAATATTATTTCTAAACCAATTAATATCACATATATCTAAATCTATCAGGGATGTAGCTGTATTTCTACTAAGATGTAGAAACACAGCTGAGAATTTTCTTTAAAATTAATACAAAAAGCCACAAAAGAGGTGAGATCCTGCTGGCACTGTTTCTGGGTTACTCAATTCTGGAAAAACTTATCAGCTGGATTTCTTCTGACCCAAAACTCCCTGGGGAGAAGGCTCATCCATCACCAAGTCGGTTTGTCCAATGATTGAGCCCATTCGGAGCCCTTCCTCTCACCTCCTGGCATCTATCAGAGGCCTCGCTACAAACTGCCAAACAAGGCAGCCAGCCCAAGGACACAAAGGATCCAGCAGGGAAATCGAACACAGCCCCAGAGAGACAAGTCACGGGAAAGGGAAAATGTTACCCATCAGGAAATCAGGTCTTCATGCTCTAAGAGGAGTCACAGGGCCTCTTGCTTGGAAAGACAGAGCAGCCCTCTTAACGTATCAACCCTTATTAAGCAAGGTTTGTGGGGCAGACAGAGCAAGGTGAAAGAGAAGAGAGGGAAGTTCTTATGCTAACCACATGTTGTATTCCAAGCCCCCTCCACCATTTGTCAAAATAGATATAAATCCTGAAATGAGAGAGTCATTGTCATTTACTAAATAAACAACCCAGCAAAGTTGATAACCTGGGGTCTGTCACAAATTAGCTGTGGGTACGCCACAGGATTTTTCTGAGCCTCAGCTTCCTTTTTTGGGAATTAATTGTGCTAGACTGGTTGACCTCTAAAATCCTTGTCCCCTCTAGAAGATTGGGCAGAGGCCATTGGATGTGATTTGATGAGTGGCCTTCACAAGTGACAGTTTTAGGAGGATGGAGGGAAGAGTCCATGGGAGAAATATAAGGCAGTCTGCTTCTCTAAAGATGTACAGCCTTGGAAGCCTTAAGGGGCAGTTCTACTCTGTCTTAAGGGTCACTAAGAGTCAGTACCAACTTGAGGGCAGTGGGTTTGGTTTGGTTTGGTTTGGGATTCTTCATTTTAAAAAATAGTCATTGCTGAGTTGACAGTGAATAAAGAAAAATAATAAAAGGGTAAGAACCTTCTCATCTTTTATAGGAACTTAATGAAGAAAATAAAGAAACTTAAGAAAGGCATTTGAATATCAAAATTGCAAGTGGTAAGGAGAAGCAGGGACGGAGAAGCTCATGGACAACCATCTTCTGCATTTCCAAATAGCAATAATACTTTCTGTAAATGAAAACTAAACACAGAGAAGACATCATTCAAGGAGCACCAAATCCAAAAAACAGTAAACAAGAACACAATACACAGCAGAGTGCAGAAAACAGACTCAAGTTCATAAATGATGATAATAACTCATTACTGAGTAGCTGTTGTTGTTGCTGCTGCTGTTGTTGTTAGTTGCTGTCAAGTCAGCTCTGACTCAGGGTGAACCCACACACAACAGAATGAAACACTACCCAGTCCTGCTCAGTCATGATCATGGCACGATATTGGACAATATTCTGTTGTGATACACAGGGTTTTCATTGGTTAATTTTCAGAAGTAGATCTCTAAACCTTTCTTCCTAGTTTGTCTTAGTCTGGAAGCTCCACTAAAACCTGTCCACATGAGTAACTCTGCTGACATTTGAAATACCAGTGGTATAGCTTCCAGCATCATAGCTATGTACAGCCAATACAGTATAGCAAGCTGATAGATAGGTGGTTGACATACAAAAATCAAACCCACTGCCATGGAGTTAATTCAACTTAGAGTGACCCCCATTGGGTTTCTAAGGGTATAAATCTTTACAGAAGTAGATTGCCCCATCTTCCTCCCACAGAGCAGCTGGTGGGTTTGAACCACTGACCTTCTTTTTAGCAACAAAATCCCTTACTCACGATGCCACCATAGTACCTAACAATTCATTTTGAGGGAAACTTCAACTCCTTCTAAGACACAATACTACTACTTTCCCCAGCACAATCCCTATGGAATTTTTGTTTAGTTGTAGTTCTGTCTTCCTCAACCCAGATCAACCAATCCCATTATGGAAGTTAGCAATGACCACAAAGGTTAGGAAATCAGAGCACAAGCAACCAAGGAGCTGAATTTAATCTGTGTGTGTGGCAGAGGAATTAAAGTAAAGGCAAAACAAATGGGACTGAGGGCATGAGGTCTACCCTGCTTGGCTTTCTTTGGGTTGGGGCTGGCAAATCTCTAACTGAATCTGCTTGTTCATCAGTTGTCAAATCAAAGAAGGGCAATGGGCAAGGGGAGCCACATAGGTTTTTCAGACTTCCTAAAATTCAAGTTAAAGATATGATGGGTCAATCCATAACATCTTGAGATCCAAGGGAGAGTATGTGGTCTTTTCAATGGGAGCTAGAAAAACAATAAAACCAGGTAACTACTCAAACCATTCCACTCAATTCATTTAAAATGCCAATGTGGGGAGTCAGGAAGATGGAGGAATAGGCAAACAAGCAACACAGATCCTCTTCAACAAAGAAAAGAAAAAATAAGTGATAGAGATACAGAAGATAATCCTGGAGTCCTGAGCTTTGAAAGGAACTATACAGAAGTAGATTAGGCACCAAGTAGTGGAAAAACCTGAATGAAAAGAGTGAATATGGAGATGGTTGGAGCTGTGGACTGTCAGGTACTCTGAAGGACTCAACAGCCTGAATATTTCCAAGAGGTGTTGGGACCTGAGAATTCACCTAAAGATCAGGCCTAGTCACCAAGGACTGCAGGGACAACTGTGCTGGTGGCCTATAACTAGGAAGGGAAAACAGGAAGGGAGACAACCTGAGTTGTGGACTTTCTGCAGTCCAGAGGGTGCAGCCATTTTTTGTTTACACATGGCAGCCATTTTGGATATTTAAAGTGACCGAGGGTGCAGTCATTTTGAATGTTTATAAGAGGCAGCCATTTTGGATATTTAAAATGACTGAAGGTGCAGCCATTTTGAATGCTTATAAGCGGCGGCCTTTAAGATATATAGAGACCGAGGGCACAGCCATTTTGAATCTTTACAAATGGCAACCACTTTAAATCCATTTTGAATTTTAAAATCCATTTTGGATTTTAAAGTGACAGCATTCTCATTCAGATTCCAGGGACCTAAGAATAGGCTTTGTTTGCCAAGGTCAGCAGGGACATACCAGAGGCTGACAACAGGAAAGGAAATAGGTGGTGAGTGTATAAGTGCCATCAACTAGTGAATAGAGGAGCACAGCACAGTACCCTGCTTGCATAGATAACATACAAACAAAACAAAGAAAATGGAAATTGTGGGCAAGTCACTCCAACATACAATCACCAATTAAATATAAACACAAAAATGTCACAATGCCCTGGAACAACAAAGCATCACAGTCCACACAAAGAAGCAAGAGAAAGCAGAAGAAACAAAGGATCAGGATACATACCCAAAACACATCCCTGAGGAAGATGCAGCATTGGAACTCCCTGAGAAGGAATTCAAAAGAGTTACACTTAGGCATCTTCAATGAATTGAGAGACAGATCAAGGAAAACACTGATAAAATTGAGGAAAACACAGAGAAAACCCTGCAACAATTTCAAAAGACAATGCAAGAACAAAATAAGTGAAAAATTAGAAATGATACAAAATCTACACACAGAAATCCAGAAGATTAATACTAACTTTTCAGAAATAAATAAGGCATTGAATGGGCAAAGGAATAGAATTGAATCAATGGAAGACAGAATTAGGGAGATTGAAGGCAAATACCTGAACACTTCTTTGGAAAGGGATCAATCAGAAAAAAAAATTCAAACAAAATGAAGAAAGCCTAATGTTCATGTGGGATACCATCAAAAGGAATAACCTATATATAATTGGAATTCCAAAACAGGAAGAAACAAAACCACAGAGAAAATTGTTGAAGATTTGTTGGAAGAGAATTTTCCTTGTATGATGAAAGATAAGACTATATCCATTCAGGAAGTCCAATGAACCCCAAACAAGATAGATCCCAAAAGAAAATCACCAAGACATATCATCATCAAACTCACCAAAACCAAAGACAAAGAAAGAATCATGAGAGCAACACGGGAAAAATAAAAAGTTACCTACAAGGGGCAACCAATAAGACTAACCTGGGATTTCTCAACAGAAACCATGCAGACAAGAAGACAATGGGATGGTATATATAAAACTCTGAAAGAGAAAAATTTCCAACCAAGAATTATGTACCTAGAAAAATTGTCCCTCAAATATGATGGTGAAATTAGGACATTTCCAGATAAGCAGAAATTAAGGGAATTTGTTAAAACCAGACCAACCTTA